ATTACGTTTCAGGAACCCCTGTCCCCAGAATAAGGAATTCCATAGTAAGGATCGCCTTTACCTCCGAGATGTTGACGGCGTCTGGTAGCGGTCTAATGATCCCTTTCACTGCCAAAAACAGTAGCCGCATGAGAAAGTGTTGATCAGTTGCTTGACTGTTTGCGTTGACCTGGGAATCTGCGCGGTATGTAGCAGACGGCGTATCTATTGAGGGTGTCTTGTGATGCAGTGGGTCGTGGAGCCCTTCGGGCAAAACAGACGAGGCAGGCATTGAAGGTCCTGACTCGCGCTTTTTAGATTGAGTAAGCGAAGCTGACGTCATAGGTCCATTTTATTTGATTGAAACGGCGTTTCTCTTACTCTGTTGCTAATGTAGTACGTCTGAATACGCATAGGCTTGGACGTCAACGATTTTGTGTTGTTTGGAGTTTCAGGTATTCGCACCATTTCTGGATTTGACGGTGGAGATCGTCGAGTAGGCGTTCAGCCATTTAGGATTTCTGTTTTTCTCAAAACTACTGCCGCTTTTTTACTGCATGGAGCAGCCGGAAAACGCTGCCGCGTGACTTTCGCCGCAGTTAGCGCATTTAGGTTCAGCTCATGAGCTGCACTCTTGATGGTGATGTGGACCTGAACATATTTTGCAACGGCGGGCACCACGGCAGTTCTTGGCAATATGTCCAGATCGTTGACATTGGTAGCATTGAAGGGGAGAATCGAAGTACTCTTTCACTGGGTGGCAGATGAACCTTAAGTACACCTTAAGGGGCATCGGGCGGTTCTGCGTGAAGCGAAGTATGACGCGTTCTTTGGGACGGGCCACTTAAGTGCAATCTTGTCTTTGGTATGCAATCTGCCTTTGGACAACTAGTTCTTTTAAGTACTCCTGTAGATCACTATCGGAGTATTGTAGTGGAACTCTTTTGATTTTTGCCATGTTCTCGTAGTAGGATCTTGGAGTGGTTGCCCTTACCTCGATTCCCGCGAGGGATGTCGATGCAAGCTGCTTATTTGCCGCAGGGAGAAACGCTACACTGACCGATGGGCTGCCATCCTTGGCGATTTTGTGTGAGAGAATATCTTCTCCTGGTGCTATTCCCAATACCTCTCGTGCCAGGACATTTGGTCTCACTTTCAAGAAGGAAGTCTGCTTGCACGTGCGAGGAAAAAGTATTGGTATACCTGCTGGCTGGTTTTTCTTGTAAGAGACGATGGTGAAACTCGCGTCATTGTCGTTATCATCCATTCATGCCTTTCTGTAACGAGTAGGTCGATGTAGCCTCTTCCGATGGAGGATCCGACTTCTTCGCGTCGGGTCTGCGTGCGCCTTCAACGCGCTGCCGTTTTATGGGAATGACGACTTCCGCCTGTACATCTGAGTGGGTAGTTGGGTGCGTCGGTGCCAGCTCTTGGGAGGGAGGATTTTCTTTGGTGAAGGTGATTTACCTTGTTCCTGGCAGGGTGGTACTTGTTCCATGGTGGCGGGTGGCTTTATCGATGGATTGGCATCGGGTCGTGACGGCCGTCGACGCCATTTTCTCAGTGTTCAAACCCACCAGGTGCAGTTTCCAAGTGAAATATACAATGCTTACGACTGGAAAACAAAATGTAAATTATTTTAAATTGGGCTATTTACGAAAAATAAGCTGAGAGCCACAAAACTGCGACCAGGCTGTTCGGAGGCTTCTTCTTCCCGCTGATTTAGTCATATTCGATGATGCCCGGAAAGTATCCAAAGTAAAACTGTACCTTTAGATGTAGTAATTAAAAGTTAATTACTGAAAGTAATTATTAATATAATTATACCGAACGATGATAATTTTCCAAAATGGGCCTTTTGGCGGAGTCATATAAGACATCAACCTTTATTTCTGTGCGATACGTACCTTTCGCAGGAACGATGTGGCCCGCGTTGCGTGTAACACCGTATATCCGTCTGATTTCGGCCAAATAATGTGAAGTGAAAAAAAGGCATGGAGCTATCTTCATGTGGCACCGATGCTGGTTGGAATCGGCCAATTTCGTCAAAAATAGGTCATAAGCGAACGCGCTGCTCGTACAACGTTTTATTACGCGTGAACATTTATACAGGATATATACGGGTGCATTCAAGAAAAGCGGAGTACTTTACGCGAATAGTGTCAGCTGATTATATTGTTGGCAAGCGTCTTGGGAAAGCGCTCGTCTGTATTTCTGGTTGAACCTAGTTAAAGGTATTCTGAGGAGGTTTCCGAGATCGTCTAAATAGGCCATAACTCACTCTGCGGGCTTCAAGCATGTTAGGAATAAATAAATCATAACGATGCACGGCCGATTTCCCTATTTAAAAAAACAATAAAAGCAATCAAAGATCGAACACACCGATTTCATCTCTGGTGATGGGAGTTGTTCCGCAGCCAGAACAACATGTGACCAATGACAACGCGAAATTTCGTTGAGATTGCAAACACTGTTATTACAAAATGTGTATGCTTTTGTAGATGATAAAAGCAAAGAGTAGTCAAAAAATGTTTTTTTTTTTCGCGAGGAGGGAACATAATAGTGCCATAGTCGTCCCAAAAACAACGCACTATGTTTGGTTTTTTGTGTGTGTGTGTGGGAGTGATATGTTTGTCTGTCAACTCTAGAGCGTGAACTCGCTGGGTTGAATCGTAGTCTTGGCTGTATGGACAACGAGCCGCGCGGATTTGAGATATCACTGCGCGGTTCCACGGGTCGGGGGCGCGAGGATCCTTCGCTTGCTATTGACTGACCGTGGTCCTGGTTTCGGAACATGCTCCTCCCATCGCCGGAGTTGAAATCAGTGTGTCGCGATCTTTGGTTGCTTTTTTGATGAGAAAATCGGTCGCGTATGATTTAGAGATTTCTAGGATGGATAGAGCCAGCAGAGTGAGTTATTGCCATATTTAGGCGACCTCAAAAATCCCCTCAAGGCACTTTTAATGAATTACGACTAATTTCTTAAGTCTAAGAGAAATACTGACGAACGTTTGTGGGTGCTAACAACGTCGTGTTTGGTATACCTTCTTTATTGTTTCACTTATGAGGTGTAAATAAGGTGTCTTTCATTGCAGCGCCACAATGCGGCTTGTCCATTTCTGCCTTTTTATTCTGAAATATAAAGGCAAACACAAGTTATAGCACGTGATGTAAAATGGCAAGGTGTTGGTTGGGGAGCGGTAGGAGTTGACAGTAAACACCCGTTGTACATACAACTTAGGCCTGTGGATGAAAGTAGCATATACTTTCGCTGATTTGCCTTGTCTTTGCGTAAAAGGCAGAGCTACAGCCAATTCATGCGATGAGAATTTGCACACATGCAACTTAAAATGGCTGAAGTGAATGTAGTGAGTTAGGTCGGATTCGGTTTATTCGAAATATGGAAGCTTTCGCTTGTCAGGGTTTCGAAGTAGACATGGTAAGATCAACTAATCCAAAGCACCTTATAACTGCAACAAACGTTTCAGCCAGACTTAAGGTAATTATGGCGTGGTGTACATAATTGTAACGCACAAAACACGCTGCTAGGGATGATGAACATATGATGTTATCATATTAACCAGCGAAACAACTGGCCACTCACTCCTGCGGTGCATTCACATCAAGTCGACTGCACTTTTTCCCTTTTAACGTAGCCTGGCGTGAATAATTTGGACTTTGATAGTATATTATCGTAGCCAACAACACCTTCGTACGACATGTTCCAGTGTTCTGAGTTTCTCGCCCGATTAAAAAATGGCAGTTGTTTCGTTTAGAGCATTCTATCTGAAGGCGAATACAAGCAAACATGTCAAAAAATCAGCTCGGAGTGACTCGTAAAGAAGAGTTGAAAGAAAACAAAAAGTTGTCCACCCGAGGGCTCAGGGTGCATTCTATTTGTAAAATCAAAGTACACAATCGCGAAGATTTACTCACCGAAGACCCCAGCATTTTCTCGGTGTGAACTCATCGAGTTTCTTCTCTAATGCGGTCCTGCGAATTAAATACATGTTCGGAAGTTAGGCAATGATGTTATTTTGTTACTTTGCAAAGGGTACGCGGTCAGCAATGATAAACAGGATAAACATTGTTGCGATAAGAACATAAATTTTCTGAGGCAAAGTGACAAGCGTCGGGTGCACCATTGCATTTATTTATTTGTGTATTGATTAGTCCAATTAATAAATCAACAATTATTTTATTCAGTCATTCATTTGTTCTTTCGTTCATTCATTCATCATAGAAACAAATGTAAATTAGCCGAAGTATTTTTTTGTTATCTCTGAAGGGGCAGGGACTGGTTGAGAAAAATACCCGTGACTCTTTCTGAATTGTTATTGAACACTTGATTATCGATTGCACCTTCGGCCGCAGTACCATTAAGTCTGCCGGTCGTCCAAAGTTTCAATACGAGATAGAAATTTCGAGGTCAATAATGAACGTCTCTCTCGTTAACGGCAGACCCTTGTCGTTTCTCTATTGATGTATTCCAGTTGCGTCATTAACAACGAAACATGGTACTCGGAATTTTGAAATTCATTAATTACGTTCTAAAAAGCCAAGATTTTTTTTTTCATAACTATAATTTTATGTTGTTGCTTGTGTGTTCTCCTGTGAGCAAGCACGTGCACTCGCAAGCCTGCCAATGCTACCTTCAAGGGCACGCTGCACGTGCTTGGATGGACGCTGCCATAACCAACGTTCATTTCCTGGTTTCTTCTATTCCACTGGCTCGACTTTATTATTATGGTAACGCGACAAGCCATTGCCTTTCAAGGCGCCTCGGCGTCCTTTTTTCGAACGTGCTTGATGTATACGACCAGAGAAGGCCGGCAATGACGGCTCTATAGCCTTACGGAAAGCGCCCTTAGAGCTGTAGGAGCACTCCCGCACGCTCTGCAGAACAGACGAGGAAATCTCTCGGGTCGTTCACAATTTCAAGCAGACGCAGAAAGGTTTTATGCGCAAAGCACAACTACTGATTTTTTTTCTTCTTTTCGAAGCTATAACCTGCATCACTGTCATTTTGGATGCAACCTGCACGTGGAGTAAGATACCCACTTGTGCTGCATGGCCTTTGTGTGAAGGTCTAGAAGAAAGGTGACCACAGATGTACCGAGCCATATTCCCAGATACGCGCCCGTGTAGGCCGCAAGTTCTATTATCTAGAAAAAAGAAAATAATTATCGTTTTACAATGGATCCTTTCAAAAGTTTGTATAGTATTAGGCGGCCGTTTCAAAATTGAGCGGTGTCGCCGTCTCCGCCGTCGTCGGCGAAACCGCGCGTCGGATTATGGGACGTTTCCCATAATGACGTCACACGTGACGTCACGATGGTAAAGTTTCCCGCGAAATTTCGCGGGCAATTTTTCCGCTAAATTTAGCGAGAAAACGCAGTATGAGTTGTCACATTAAGCAATGCAAAACGTCACACTTGCATTGCTTAGTATCACAACTCAGACTGCGTTTTTTTGGTCTAAACATATGTTTCGGCATCGTCATTCGCTGGCGGCCTCCTTAATTTGCGGTATTCTACTCTCCGAGTGTTTTGCGAGAAAGTAGACGCATGGGCTTTTTTTAGAGTATAAAACATTCTTGATCGGAACGGTAACAATCCTAGATCGTTACATAAATATCGAACAATGACGGACCTGATGTGCTACTCTGCGGCACGCCGCAATAGACTCTGTGTTTTCTACTGGTACTGCTTCCAGTTTGAGTCATCTGGAACCTGTTCGTGAAGTTGTCCGTTAAGAATTTGTTGAAGGATCCTCTCAAACCTTGTTAAGTTTTAATAGGAAGAGTGCGCGACCAATTGTATCAATTGCCATTGACAGACCCAAAAACCAGGCAAGGGCAACTTTATTATTTTTAAACGTTTCATCAACACATTATGAGAAATTTTCAAGTAGTGAAATAGTGTTTCTTTGTTGCCTGAAACCATACTGCCCATCGTTTAATAAGGAAAATCACACTCAAGCTTCTTGCTTCGTGGTTGGTTCTTCAGCATTCATGCCTGCTGAGGCTGCGATTTCATTGTCTGTGTGAAGCGAGACTAAGATTCCCATGACTCCCCACGCGCTGTGTTTCTTCAGCTGACAGTGACCCCCCATTGTTGGATCCCATACTCTCTGTGCTTGTATTGAACACAAGGGCTGCGACGGCCCACTCGGCGCAAACTCGCAGGGCAGCCGACAAAAAGTGCGCGTGTCTCCCGGCCCGTGTGGAGCTAAACAGCGCCAGCGTCTGCGGTGAAGACAATCTTTTGCTTCGCTGGGAGCATGCACGGGGAATGGGTAAAATCGTGCCGGTAGAGGGAGCAGCCCTTGGCAGCTGATCGTGTTAATCTCGCAGACCGGTTTACGAGGCATCCGCGAATATCGCTCGGTATAGATCAATTAGAGAAGGAAGCGTCGGGTACCAAATTGGGTTTAGACGAATTAAAGCGTGAGTGAAAAATAACCTGAGCCTAGTTGTGACATGTTAACTTTTGAATAGGAAGGCTTGTTAATGGAAACTGTTTATTGCTAAAATATTGAAAAAGCAATTGATGACAGGTTTGTAAAGAACACACATTGAACCAGATACACTAGAACAGGGGTGGCCAAGCTGCCGCTCGCGGCTCCACCCCCCCCCCCCCCCCTCCGCCTCCTTCCCGATCACACGAGCACTTCTCCAAAAAGAGAAATGGAACGCGTTTTAAATAGAAAGACAGGTTACGGTTTGGCAGTCTTGCGCTATTGCTATCCTTACGTACAGTTGGACTGCTTTTGACTCGGATAGATTGAAAGTAGTTCGAGTTTCGTTTATTGCACTGGACAAAAGTTTGCACTCCTCCCGTCGCGGCTCTTGGAAGTTTCGTGGTTTCGTTTGCGGCTCTTAGGCCGGGTTAGCCTGGCCACCCCTGCACTAGAAAAACCCCATAAAGTTAAAGCGAAATCGCGTCACTGCGTTGAATGGCGTTCGTGGAGGCAACGGGCAAGGTATGTTTTCACTTATATTTTTAATCTTTCTTTTGAGTCTTGCGTATTTCCCAGAAGAATGCAAGTAGCGAAGGTGTCTCTACTGTATGAAAAAAAAAGAGACAAAAATGAGTTAGGTAACTATATAGACCTATTTCTATATTGCCCGTCTTTTCGAAGGCTTTGGAAAAGTTACTCTATCATCGTTTACTAGACTTCTCGAATAAATGTGATCTCATTACTTCCTCGCAATTTGGTTCTAGGAAGAACTGTTCAACAGAGACAGCTCTACTTGATCAAAAATAATTTATTTTAGAAAATTTTGAAAGTAAAAAAATACTTCTAATTGTATTCCCAAATTTTACGAAACCCTTTGACTGTCTTAATCACGAGGTGTTATTAAAAAACCTTGAAATTTACGGCATTCCCGGATATGCCCTACAGCTTTAATAGTTATACCTACGACATCGCTATCAACATGTTAACATAAACGGTCATTCTTCCACTGTGAGATCTATTACGTCAGGTGTTTTTAAAGGAAGCATATTGGGACCATTTTTTTAATCTTCACATTAATGAAATAATGAACGTAAATACTAAGGCGACATTTATAATTTATGCAGATGATACTTTAATATTTGTTTTTCTGCCGAAGCCTGTGACGAAATAATTGATTTGGCGAAATATACTTCATTAAATATAAAAAGGCTGTGCGGATAGCAACTCACTGAAAATAAATATTAATAAGACGAAAGCGGTCATTTTTGGACCAAAAATAAGTACCTGATTATATCGAAGGTTCTCCGCTTTGACTCATCTCCCATCGAAATCGTTAGTTGTTTCATAGCTTTTAAAGTGTTTTTTAGTGACAAAATGAGCTGAGATAATCATATCAACTATATTGTTCCAAAGCTTGCTCGGGTAGTGGAAATCGCAAAATCGCTACCGAACTGCTTTAGTAACGAGCGTTGAATTGTTGCTGTACAAATCCCCATTAGCGTATTGTCTTCTAGTTTGGGGCGCATCCACAATGACTAATATAAAAAAAAGAAAAACTGTTTTTGCTGCAGAAAAAGATATTCAGGGGAATATGTAATGTGCCATAAGAGTTTCATTCTGCCGATTTATTTACGAACTGTAGAATAATTAAAATTTATAAATATATCAGTACAGCCTCGGTACTAGTTTTAAAAGTGAAAAAAGGGGCTCGTGTTTTCTGGAAAGATTTGCGTCGTTAAGGGAAATGTCCCCTACATTATTCTACCCGCAACGCAGAGAAATGAGGGATGGTCCCGCAACGAACGAACTATGGCTATCAAAAGTTAAATTTTAAACTCCCACACTTGCTAAATAGTATTTGCATTGACAATATTGATTTTGATAGTTTAACTTTCAAGGGCCTGCGCTTATAATTTTGTACGTGATTTTAATTTCATTCTATGTTTTGCACTTGGGTGAACCTTGGTTTGTACAAATGTTATCCGTAGATGTGAAGCGGTTTCACTGTAGACTTTTTTTTTTGTATTTTTACGCATGCTTGCTGCTGACCAGTGTAAGGGGCCCGAGGACCAGTCAAGCTGTCTGCTGCAGCTTTTTTCCTTTGCCCCCCCCCCCCCCCCCCCTCATTAGTTGGAAAATAAAGTTATTATTACTGTTATTATTATGATATTGGCCTCCAGCCAATGCCTGTCGTCTACCTAGCTACGAAGGCGTGTGACGAAACGAAGCGTACATTGATTGTAACTTTCCGCTTGTTAGAGACCACACCGTTAAAGGTCTCTAGCTCAGCTTTTGGAACTTACGAGAAAGAGGCTTTCGCACCAACTTCGTGTACGCTCTATTTTTCTTTTTTATTTTTTTATTTTTTACTGAAAGCATAGTTTTTTTAAAAGTCACCCGAAGAACATTGTGGATATGAAACGAACAAGTTCACGGCGATGAGCCTCGTTGTGGTTGGGCAGTCTAGCAAAACAGGGTCGCAGACTGCTGGCTCTGCTAACCTAAGAAGTGTTGGGGGGTCGCCAGTTGCTCACGTTGCATGATAACACATCTGAAGCAAACATTTTGAGAATTTAGAGCAGATTAATTAAACATGATGAAAAACAGCCTCAGAAAAGCAGGGACGAGGAGCGAGTTAATCCTCGTTCCCGTTTTTCTGAGGCTGTTTTTCATCATGTTCAACTCTTACCAATTGGCCCAAATCACCACCCTACTTCAGCAGATTAATTAGTTCGCCCGAGGGGTATGAGAGTCCTCCTCGATCCAGGTGGTTTGTAAGGCCACGCAAATTGCTCTTGGTCTTCGGTTTCTCCATATTACATGATAAGGAGAGGCATGCCAAGTGTTCGTTTACGACACGGGTGATGTAGCCTCCAATGTGTGCCTTTGCAAATGACTCGAGGACCTGCATTCTTCTCACAGCATGATGGGATAGCATAGCTAAACGTTCATTACACTTTCTGGAAGGTCGAGTGATGCGGTGACTGGCACTGAAGGTATCCCGCAAGGGCAGGACAAGCGTATTTATCAATCCGTCACTCACCTGCGAACCACTTGCCGCAGCTGGGTAATAGACCCTTTCCGAAATTCAGTCTGGCCACTTTGATCATTATTATCATCAGTGGAACGGCATCTCTGCCATACGAATGGCGGCCTTCTAGTGACTGATAAAAGAAGACGTTGAAGATGTTCCTAAGTGGATCTTGCGAGGCCTGTACATTCGGGGGGTCAGTACGACGCGGCGTAGGAATGGAAAACAAGAGCTACGTAAGCGTTTATTTCTAATAGTAACTCAAATTCAGTCAATCTGTGTGCGGCACACAATCTGCTTTAAAACACTTTGGTGTAAAGAATTTTCTGGAGGCATCTGAGTGGGTTGGAGCTTTTATCTGAATGCAGGTTCTTGGTCACCGTCGAACTGAAAGTGATCGAGAAAGAACTCACTGAACAATTCCTCGCGTGCCGTTGACTTGCGAAAGTCACGGTGCCGATACAAGTTCATCTCCGTCATTGATATGGCAAAACCTAAACTGCTTTACAAACCACCAGATGGCACTGAATTTCGGAAAGGGTCTATAACAGGGTTTCGCGATGTGAACTACGGATCGCCAGGACACCGCTAAGCACGACGATCGAGCATGGAGATGTAGGGTCTTCTGCGTGTTCTAACTGAGCAAGGCTCTGTGTCAGCTATCCGAATTTC